ATTGTTATATAAGCTTGGGGATTTGAGATTTTTTAATACAGTTTTTCTTATAAATTATTGGAAAATAAAGAATACTAATTTTTACATAATATGATAATTACAAATGATATTATTTTTTTTTCTTGAAAAGTTAAATTTATAAATTCAGACTGATTCTTCAATGTTGTCTTTGCTCCGCACACACCCTTTTATACTTTTTACAAATTTAATTCCTTTTTAACATGCACATTAAACATATTTTTTTTCAGTTAAAATCATAAGTAAACTTTTTTTTGTTGAACTTTGAAAAATGTAATTAATAATAAAATAAACAAATGGGTAAAGTTTAAATTGTGTATTTTATAAAAAAATATTTTTTAAACATTTTTTTTTTTGGAAAACCATTGTACTTTTCCTTTTTTTAAACATTTTAACTTAAGTAATTGTGTAATATTATAAATCTAACAAATGTTTAACTTTTTTTAGTTAAGTCAAAGACGCTATTAAATTTGAAACTTAAACGGTAACGTATTTAATTAGGAATAATTTCCTATTAAATTCTGATTGGCTGACAATGAGGTCGAGTGCGGTCATGTAGTGCTACACTCCACTTCGCCTTCCCCGTGTACACTATAATAGGCGGCAGTTTTTTTTAAATGTTAGTTTAGTACGGTCATTGATACGGAGTAAAAAAAAAAAAAAATAAATACGATATTATAATATAATATAATATTGCAGCTGCCAGCCAAGGCCTCAACACTCGTAGAGAGCGACGACTCACTAAGTCAGTATGTTTTGTCACAACAGTATTGTCAGTGGACCTTGGGTGTGCGGTCGGTTCTATTTCACACAGCTGAATAACCGTAAGTTTTTAGCAAAATTATTTTTAATCATTTAAATTGTAAACTTAGTTTTTTTATTTTCTATGCAATCGTAGTAAGCGTCGAAAGAGTCTCGTCAAGAATTCTCTCATTTCATTCAAGTCAAGTCGACAATATTCTTACTGGTAAGAGCATAAATGTCCAACACTTATTGTGCCATATAAATTACCGGCAGTTCGATAAAAAAAAAACCTTGAAAATATATACTACTTCACCACAAGCTACACCAGCACTCCAAAAATTGACTTCGGTCCTCTTTATATGTCCTTACTTACCATGACCTTGGAATTTACTCTTTTTGACAATATATATTGCTTAAAAGTGGTAATATTTGTACTTTATCGTTGAATAAAATCGATTTCACTTTTTTTTTGTTTAGTTAGCAATGTTTCATCACAAATAGCCATAATAATTATTAGACTTTAATCGAAATTTTACCGGCCATATTTGCCTATCGCACAGACTTTTTGACGGTTTATATATCGGTCGAGTCATATATATTTTAATACGGTAAAATATAAAATAATATACAAATACACTTACAAGTACAGGGTTATTTACTAACTTACTATGAACCAGTCAATATTTCATAAGATGCCATTAGCCTTTTTAAAATTATTAATTTTTGTACTTTTATAACTGTTATTAGTTGGCCCTAATTTGACTAGACTTGTTTTTTTTTTTTTAACGGGAACATATGTTTTTAATTACATAAATATGTTCACAAAAATTTTAAATAAATGTTAGAGTTTTAATTTTTTTAATTTTCATAAACTTCTTTGTTTGCTATGGCACTGTAAATATTGTAATATAATATCAATACTCGTTCGGTTTTTAACGACAGTAACACAACAGTTTCCCCTATTAAATAATACTATTGACCTCTGTGCAACAGCACTGTCATCGCCACCGTGTTTGTAAAGATGTCTATCATTTTATTAAAAACATTTCATTGTGTTGGGTTATCGGTATTTTCGCCTATCGGACAATGTTAAAATACATATAAATTTTACGGACCACTTTTTGGAAACCCGAAGACTTGTAATAATAATAATTACACAAGGAAATGTAATATGTTTGCAAATTCATAGCAAACGAACAGATTGATGGAAATTGGAAAATTAGAACGCCAACATTTTTTTAATAAACGTTGTCTAAATATTAACGGAATTAAAAAAAATATATTCTCGTTTACAACAAACGAGATCCGTACTTGTTTCACGGATAAGCGATGAAAGTAAACATTTTCTAAGTATTGAAAAATAAAGTAAATTACGTACCTCTAAGTACAGGATAAAAATATTTTCAAAATATTTATATTGTGTCTTACATCAGATAGATCATACAGTAACATATTGTACAACAATAAATTAATAAAAAAATAATAATTGGACAATTGATCAATGTTAGTCCAATTATTAATGTCTTTTTCGACTTTGAATAACTGTTTTTGAAGTTATTGTAGTTTCAAGTTTAGGGTAGGAGGTAAGGTGCAGTGTAGTAATATTTTTAGCTGCTCATACTTCCCAACCACACTTCCCCTCGCGTCCTAACTTTTATAATTTAAAAAATAATGAAGCGGTTCTCCGGTTGTTGCCGTAGGACCTTACTCCTTTTGTTCTATGATTAACTCCACTCGGTTTTTCAGAACAATATATTTACTTTATTCTTTGATAACATAAAATATAATTTACAAAGTTTTTTACATTTGGTATAAGGGTTCGAGAATCGTATTGGGGCTTGCACATGTGGGGTTGGTGGGTCGCCTAATTCGCCCGCAGTCTGCACAACTATGCAACCCTCACTATTAGAGCGACTCAACTAAGCCCTCTAGCCCAGCCTAACGCCCGGGGATCCGCTTACGGCATTGGTAGCGGCGGGAGGTGTGCACGCACGATTATATGCGGCCGAGCGTCGTTCTATTAAGCGCCGTCCTAAATTATAAAAAAGTGGTACTTAATGTTTTTGGGGTCAAAGAGTTCAAAATTTATATCAATTTTTAAATTCACGTATAATTGTAAGATGCAAATAAACATAATATTTTGTTTTTAAATTGAAATTTAACTTTCGTAAACTTCTTCATATGTTTCATAACTTAAATTTAATAATGATTTTACGTCATTGTCCAATTCTTTTTTTTTTGGTATTTTGCAAATTGAGGAAATATTTGAATCTGAAGTGACAAGTAATAAGTGTAGAACGTCTTCATTTTGAGCTACTCTACTAATTTTTCGCAAATGGTGTTCGCTATAATTTTTATAGTCTTTATTTCGAGCTTCCTGTGCTTCTTCGGAAAGTTGTCCTTAAAAATGTTCATATTACATTAGTTAATTATAATAAAGTTTATAATGGCTTTTACGCCAAAGTCTTTGTAAAACCAAAGTAAACTTTAAAATTGAATGGTTGACTAACTCAATGTGTATTGCGGTTCCCATTTTACATTTTCATACCGTGCCCTCAAAATTTCAAATAAATAGTTTCTCGATTTTAAAAAATGGGGATTTAGTGGACCTCTATTTTTTAATAGCTTATAAAAATCATTATAAAAATAATACCGGGAATCAGTGTTATTCCAATCCAAATTGTCGTCAATTTCAGAATCATTTATTCCAACACTGCCGCTAGAGCTACCTACAAAACAAATTATTAAAAATACAGATGCAAATGGATGCAAACCAAATTTTAGGATCTGGTACTGAAGAACAAGTACTATATTGTATGTATATTGAATAACGGTTATTATGGGTTATTTTTTAGTTATACGCTTTGAAATATCAATATTAACATTTTTTTACTACTTTTTTAACTTTGTTTTAATAGTAAAATAATAAATATTTGTAATATTAATATGAAACACTTACCTAAGTTTTCGAATTCGTTACTTATATGAAACTAATTAAAAAAAAAAAAAAAAGTTTACCTGTGTATAATATACTAAAAAAATGTAATGTACAATCGGTGAACGATTCGACGTTTGTGAGCGCGTTATTATGTTTTACTTATCGCTTGCGCCGCTTGGTAATGTTAATATTATCTGAAATTCTATTTTTTTGTTATATAGAACTTATATATAATGGGTTAATAACATAAAATACCTATTTTTATGAATTTTAATAATTGACTTTATTCCACCTAAATTAGCTTTTAGACCACTGTGGCGGTGCCGTTCCACGGTGGTCTAAAATCAAAAAAAGGTGGCCAAAAATATTTGTACGATTTAATATATGGAAAAAATAGTAGTTCTTATATTTCGTTTATTAAAAAGATATTTAAACATTCGAAAGGCATTAAAAAAAAAAAAAATATTAATTTTCGCTTTGGTCTGTTTCACTGTAGCTGTCGTCATTTTCATGTTATACAGATTATAATATGTTTCGCACGATCGAATGGATGCATTGTTACTTTGATTATCATACAAAAATCAATTATCCAATATACAAATTGAAATTTGTAACAGTTGCAAAATTTAACTCATAAATATTTACCAACATATTTATGTAATTAAAAACACTTAAAAACATTATAAAAGGTTTGTTTGAATTAATTAATTTAATTTTTTTTACTTTTTAGTCCTATTAAAGGTATTTAATAATTGCTGAATAGATTTCTAAATTAATTTTAGAAGATTTCAAAAAAACATGGAATTATAGGGAAATGACCCCCACATTTGACCCTGTGTAGGGTGACCTGGATGTCCGAGTCACAATATGATTTCATGATATTGTATTGTCATCGAAGATGAGTGTCTGTGATAAGTTTCAGCCCTATACACCATCGGGAAGTGGGTTAAATTAATTTTGCAAGATTTCAAAAATACCTATACAAACGTACTTACGTGTTAGCGAGCTAAAGAAAAGAATGTAAAAATATCCATTTCGTTTTTTTTTTTATGAAAACTAGAATTTCAGGAACTAATTGGATTAGTTATAACCTCCACTCATTTTGATCCGCTTTGATCACTGACGACAAGTAATGTTTTAAATACAATTATTATTAGAATACTACTGATATAAATTAGAGACATATTATTGAGACATATGTTACACGCCGAGTCGAGCCGTAGCAGTTTGGGTTAGGTACTATTTTGTTGTAATACGGTTATTTATTTTTACAGGTTGATTTTTCATTGGCTCCGCTAAGATGGCTCGATCCGGCAAAGATATGGTGTATTTTGCAGAGAAGTACCCGAGGCTTTTCCGAGATCCAAATGACGTCGAGGAGAGGTGGTTTCGTAAGATTTTGAAAAAAGTTTTCATTGAAAACGAAAACGAGCTCAAAAGAATCGACAGAGAACTGAAGCGAACGGGAGACTTGGACAAACGGACCGGTGTGTTCAATATGGTCAGTCCGGACACGTCCAAAAAGATTTGGTCCTTCACGCGTCTCACACCGCTTGACAAAATCAGCGCGGTCATTATCGGACAAGACCCGTATAGTCCAATGTATGGCGGTAAGAGAAATGAATTTCAGTCAAACGGGTTGGCATTTTCTACAGTATGTTTGAGAAAACGTCTTCCCGACTATAATGTCTTGAAGAGAATATTCGACGCCATAGTAGAACAGATTAAAGACCCCGACCTGAACTTGTCCCGGTCGACGTTGGAGTACTGGGCGGAACAGGGTGTGCTTTTGTTCAACACTGCGCTTACTCGAGGAGCCGAATCGCACATTGAACTCTGGGAGAAAATTACTAGGAAAATTGTTTTAAGAGTTTGCAACTATGTCCGCGCCCGGGATGAACTGCACCGGTCCCTCGTCGTTATTCTGTGGGGTAAAAAGGCCTTAAATAACTTCGGCTTCGATTTGGTATATAATGTCCACATAACCCTAACGTCCCGTCATCCTTCGGTGGCGGCAGACAACTATTACGGCGACCAGCCTTTTTCCAAATCTAACCGACATTTTGCAGAAACTAACGAGGAGTTAATAGCAATGGGCAAACCACCGATAGACTGGTCGACGGTGCCCAAGGAAGAACGTGGTGGCCAATCGGATGACGAATCGACCAGTCTTTCAACAGAAGAAGAAGAAACTATTGAAGATATTCACGAATCAGCCGAAGACGAAACCGATGCCGATCAAGATTCAGAAATGGAATGTTCTGATAATACTCGGGGAGACGATTCGCACACAGTATCCAGGAAGAACATTTCTAAGAAAATTCACTTAAAAATTAGAAAACATGTGTCGAGTGACGAATCGGACAGTCAGTACGATTCGGACGAAAACAAAACCGATGCCGATCAAGATTCAGAAATAAAATGTTCTGGTAACACTTCTAGTGGTGACGTATCGTATTATTCCAGTGAATAGTCTTGATTATGTTTCATAATTATAATAATCGTATCCCAGCTTCATTTATAAACAGATTAGTTACTTAATTCAGTGGCATTACTTTTAAACATTTTTTAAATATTTGTTTTGTACGATATATATATATATGGTATTCATACCAAACTATATAATATAATAATAATAATTATTATTATATAAGTATAAAGCTACACGTATAAATCAATAGAATAGCCTGTAAAAAATTAATGTATTTGTATCCGTTATGAACTGGAATGATTAATATTATATAACTCATAATGTTTGGCGATTTTTGTTGTTCTAATTTTCTTTAACAATTATAATTATAATATAGCTATAATATATGTCAAACTACATATTTTCAAAATTAAATGGTATTACAGCAGAATGAATTTCTATAATTTATAGTACCTTTAATGTATAATAATTTCTCAATATAAATCTTAAAAAACAGCATTTACAACTGTTATTATAAACAAATGCTTAATTTAGAATTATTTTTTATTTATCTATTGATCAAAAGTATTATTTTGAACATTGGCTGAAAACGTTATGACGTATGTCAATTGAAATAATTTATAGAATGATAATCTGTCAGATTAGATAATCTGACAGCTTAGATGATTTTGAACATTATTTTTAAAACATTTTAAAGTTTAACTATGCCTTTTGGAACGATATAAACATTTAATTTCTGGAATCTTATTTTATAACAAGAGGCATATATCTTAACTTCAAAATGTTTTTTATTCTACATTTTTTTTTTTAAGTTCAAAATCATTTAACTTAATCCGCATTCTTTGTAGTTTTAGGTCAATAAAGTCAATTTTGACTTAATATCGTTTTCATTTGTCGACTTTGAAGAGGCACCTAATGTCTTCGGTACTATTACAAGTAAATTAAAATATAAAGGTAAGTTAATTTCCTATATTATAGAGATTAAAATGTCGAGTCAATGATGTTCATATAATTATTTCGGGAAATATACTTATATGTTGTTGAGTGAGAAAAATGCAAAAGTAACTCTTATCGAAAATGTAATTGTACTTTTTTAATCTGAGACAACGAAACTTCTAAAAGAAATGATGAAAACAAAAACATATTAATTACATAATAATATTAAAAGAACATTTTTAAATATATATGAAGTATTCTGAGTCAAACCACGCGGTCATCGGCCTGGCCTCATCAAATTTTTTGAAAATTTTTTTTTTAACTTCTTGTGGTCAATTATAAGACCTTTACTTTTTTGAAATTTTTATCACTAATTTTTTACCCAAAAATAGAGGTTTTTTCAGTTATTTTTCAAAAAAAAAAAATAGATTTCGACAGGTTTTAAATTTCTAAAAATTTTATCATAAAATCAGAGACTTAAATAAAATATTTTCGTCTAATAACGGGAGTGGGCCGAGATTTATTTCTATTTTTTTTTTTTAATAAAGAACATTTTTCCCTGGTGGTCACCCATCCTGAATCAAGCAGCAACGGGCATAGCTTAATGTTTCATTTGTCACTTTTTAGTCCCAAAATAGGCAAAAAATCAAAATTTATCAAGATGCGTTTATTTTTTAAAAAATAAAACTGAAATTACATTTTTTTTTCAGATTTTGAAACCTATAATCAAAATGTATTTTAATGAATAAATGAGACCCAGTAATTGGAAATTCTATGTTGATAACAACATGCTTACATACAATTTATCTATTATCTATATCATGATAAATTGCATAATCTCCACAATTCAAATGTAGAGAACAAACGACAACCATTAAATCTATAATGGATGAAATAAAACCGTACTACTAATTTTTTTTTATAGTTATATTTATATAAATGTTTGTACTTTATTTAATTGTAAATAAGTATTCATGTCTCGTTGAAGTACCGAATACATTTAGAGTAGTGGTGGAATTATAGATAATGAAATAGTATATTAACAAGCAGTGACAAGCTAGTATGTAAGGTGGCTAGTAAACAAATCAAGTTTCTGGCTAACAGTTTAGTGTTTTCACTTTTCATAATATCTGACCGAAAAAAATTCATAGGGAATATGGCCTGTTAATTAACTTTTTTTTACAAACATGATAATAATAATATATGTAAAATCATATGCATAGAGCACAAAATATAGCTTGTAGGCGCGTTTAGTTTTGGGAGATAGGTAGGTAAATAATACAACGGTGGGACGGATGCAGTGCCGCAACTACCGCCGGTGCAGGCGGTGCATCGCACCGCCAGACAAGCCTCCGGGTTATGTTTAAGGGGCCTCATATTTATGAAGACATAACAATTCAAGTCTAAACATTCATTTCTTAAAACAAGGTTTAAACAATTTTAAGTATTCGATTGTGTATTTTTAATGATGACACTTGAATATCTACATTGGCCATTGGATTTAAAATTGATAAATTTTATTTTGTTTCTGTAGTTATCGATATTATGATTATATTATGATTATTATACTCGATAGCCAAACGTGTGTCGTATAAATAAAGGCTATAAATATTTATACAAAAATTAAATGGAGACCAAACACAGATAACCACCTTATTGGAAGAAAAAAAACTATTCCATTTATTTCCATGTATTATCTAATAACAGGAGTGATAAGTTTCCAAAACTATATACAGATTTATTGTATTATAATACTATCTACGCGCCCGCACCCAGCCGCTGCACATCTATTGGACTAAAAAAAAAATTGAATCATTTGAGTTTATTTTATTACTAACAATCTGGGAAAATATATTAAGGAACTTCCATTTAGTATCTAAAAAATTACAGAGCCCAAATACAAATCTTCATGATGCATGTACATTTTTAAAGGAGGCTTCTTCTTCTATTATAAGTTTAAGGGATCATTATAAAGAGCTAGTTGCTTCTGCAAGTGAGCAATGTAATAAGTGGAATATACCAATCCAAAAAACTATTCGTCGCCGTGTGTATTCAAAAAAGATTTTTGGTGATGTTGCCGGTGATAGAAGACTCGATAGTTCTGAAGACAATCTTCGTGTGATGGTTTTTTTACCAGTTATAGATACAGCAATTTTACAACTTCAAGAAAGATTCAAAGGATTATTATTTAAAGGATTATTTGAGGTTACTAAAAGATTTGAATTTCTGGTACCGCATAATATATTATCATTTAGTGAAGAAGATATCACAAAAGCATCTTAGGACTTTCAAATATTTTACAAACATGATTTAAGTAGTGATATAACAAGGCAAATTCTATCCCTTAAATCTATATTAAAGGATTCATTAAAAAATTTACATTGTATTAAACAACTTTTACAATGTATTTTAGAAAATGATATGGCCTCTATGTACAATGATATTTTTAGTGCATGTATCATATTTATAACATTGCCAGTTACTGTAGCCAATGCAGAAAGATCGTTTTCAAAACTAAAAATCATAAAAAACTACTTAAGAAATTCAATGTCTCAAGATCGCCTGATAAACATAAGTATTTTAAATATTGAACGAGGAAGAACAAAAGAATTGGATATAAACAAAATAATTCAAATATTTGCTACTAAAAAAGCAAGAAAACAAAATTTTCTTAAATAAACCAAAATTGAATTATAATTATTGTTACATACATTTTTTTTTTTTGACATGTTATAACATACACATATTTAAATCATAATATGTTTCAAGATTTTTTTGTTTTTGTAATAAACTGATTTATACACGTATGTAACAAGTATAAAGGTAATTAAAAAAAAAAGTATTCAAGCGTTTAAGTTGAAGCTACCTGCCAATTATAGTTCAGCTCTTATTAAGATTAAGTAAGTATTAAATAGGGTTTAACTTTTATAATTGGGGACCCTACAAAACTTTGGGTGAGCATTATAGTAAATAGGGGCCTCTAAAATCAGCCTGCACCGGGGCCTCTATAATGGTAGTTGCGGCACTGGACGGATGCGTTTCAATTTGCTATTATATATAATAATTGTTTTTGTATAACACACGTTTGTCAGGTCATATAAACGTGCTTGTGGAATTCAGATCAATGGATTACTATTGGAATCAGCGATTTTAACTATACCCGACCAACAGCCAAATACTCGAAATCAGCAGCTATGTCAACGACAACCCATTTTATTTGTATAATAAATTTAAACCGTACATTTGGTGTGGTGCACTCAATATGTCATTGGGTTTATCAATTAATAATTTAAATTGTTTTTCATAGAGTTTTTATATAATGTGATATCAATTTTTTATTTTGTTTTTACCTCCCTCCAAAACTGGGAATAATATTGTACTAAAAATGTTTGCTGTCTGGTCGATAACCATTTTTGGATAACTATTTTTGAAACTTTTTCAAGTTTTAAGTTTTGGGCAGGAGGAAATGTGGAGTGTAGTATTATTTTTATCACATTTTCCGATCTACACTTATAGGAAATATACACAATTTCCGCGACTATTTTTTTTACTTTTAAGGTCATTATGAAAGCATATACATCTAGATAGCGATAAACTGGTTTGTGGGATTTCATACCTGTGCGGTTTAATAATATGAATTTGAAGTCGCTGTGTTACATATTTTAATGGATTCGATTTAATCTTAAGTAGGCGGTCATAATTAAGTTCAATTTTTGAAGAAAAAAAATTTAGTTTATTACTGTTTAATACTTACTATTATTCGGTAAAGTGACTTTTCCATAATACTTGTCATTGTGTATCTAAAATCTAATACAAATTTATATTCATTTAAATAAAAACGTCGAATATTAATTTTAAATTCTATATGTTTTAATATTAAATTTATGACTTAGGATTTACAATGCTTAAAATACAATTACTACACACAATTTTATCTGTTATTGTTCTACAATTGATTCGTTGACGATAGCAGATGTTATTTTAATTGTTATTTATCTTGTTTACGTCAAAATAATTTCCAGCAAATCAAAACCCCCAAGTGTTTAGAACTGTTGTAAAATAATCAAATTTTCTTAGTTAATACCAGAAAGATTTTCGGTGCTGAA